TATGGGTTAAAAATGACAAATCATAAAGTTACGTATCATGTTGTTGGCTAATGTGCTTTTTCTCTAACATTCTCTGTAATAAACTGCTGCTTCATTCATCACACCTTGGATTTGTAATACCAGTCCAGTATATACTATACCAACTTCTTCTAGTATTTCTTCTTTGCTGAAATTCATGTTTTCACCATCCCGATAAAAAAAAAAGTTTTTTTTGTTAAAGTAGCGAAATTTATAAGTTTTATGACACTATGTGCTGAAATTAGTAGTCACTTCGTTCACTTTTACTTGTCCACTATTCGAAAAATAGATTTTCATTTTTACTTGTCCACTTTCGCATATCAAGAGAAAAATAATTTATTTTTTCTATTTTATCCTTAGCATTAATTACTCATTCCAAATTATTTTTCAAATCCATTAAGACTATACACCAATTAATATGAGTATCATGGTAAATTATATACTTTATTTATTATTCCTTAATGGATGTGCAAAGTCAATAATTGACAAGTAAAAGTGAACGAAGGGAGTACTATATTACGAGTTTTAACTTTTCATTTTATAGATAATTGTTATTTTTTAAACAAATGAATATATGCACTTAACCTTAATTGATTCTTTCTTAATTACTGTTGAAGATATAATTAAGTAAATAAAAGTATGTTTTATCTAATATCTTAAGCTTTTAGATAAGATGGTCTGATACTTTAACATAGTATCAGAGTAGGTAGAGGTCTTGGGTGTGTTGAAGACATAATTAAGTAAATAAAAATTGTATGAAGAGAACAAAAATGGTAGAGAATTTTACGCCTTGAAACAAACTCTTCTATCGTATTGCATTTAAATTAGGACAAAATGCAATTCGTTTACTAAATCAATTATTATGAGTAACCTCATTAGATTCGTTGAAAGAGATGAGATAATAGATGCCTGAACTTCCCAAAGGATTGACGACAAACGCAATTTTCATATTAACATTATATTATAGTGAGAAACCACATTTCTATTTGAGTTAAATAGAGAAGGAAAATAGAAAAAATTTAAAACCTATCAATTACACTACCAATCTGTAAATCATATGCAAACTACAATTTGAAGTTTTCTTGCACTTAACAAACCATGCATTACTTTAGAAGTGATTCCCATGCAAGTCAAAGATTATTCCCATGCTTCTTATTTATTTTTTCCCTTCATTTTCCTACTTGACTAAAAGAAAACAAAGCCACGGAAAATTTATTCGGGACATTATTAAAGGAAATCAGAGCCAAAAAAAAAAGAAAAAGAAAGAAAGAGATAAATTAACACTTTGAATTACAAAGAAAAATTGGTTCGAAAATTGCCAAATTCTTGGCAAAAGGAACATAAACTTAGGACATTAGACCCTACCCTTTCTACTTGTACTGCCCATTCTTTTCTCTTTTAGTCTCTTATCTTTCACTTAACTTTTTTTCATTTCTATGACAAAGCTACAAAATTCGATAAGTTAGGAATCAAGTCCTAGTAAATTAATCTAACAAAAATATAAGGAAATTCTCTAAGAATATAAAGACTCAATATCTGAAAGCAAACTTCTAAACCGCCATTAATCACTAAATTAGCTGCCGAAAATCTGGCCCAATATGTTGATGAATCAAGTAATCATCAGCACTGGATACATCAAACATCATGTTCTGAGGAAGGAATTGTTGTTGTTGATGGTGTTGTTGAGTCCGAACAATTTCCTTTTGCCTCCGAATCTCAAGAACTTTTCGATGAGAATTTGAGTGCTTAGTAAGCACAAAAGTTGGACTAGCAGCAGGTCGATATTCAGGGACAAGACGTCCAGACTTGTACCTTACACCACACGCATTGCAAAGTGTTTTTGGACCCATTGGTCCAGTTCTCCATTGTGGTGTCTTATCAGTAGCACAATGAAGACACTTCCTTCCTTCACTATTGCTAGCCATATTATTATTTGGAACATGTTGAGTATTCTCTTTCTTAATTTTCGGAATAGACGACTTCACTGTCTTCTTTCCAGAGCACGATATGATCCCTGACTCTGATGAAGATGACATGTCTTGCATTGTTGTTGTATTCATTGGCGAGTTTGGTGTATTGTTGGGAGAATTAGGTGACACGACTAGCAAGCGAGACGCCCAATTGCCCGGAGCCATGCGCGATCGCTTGCTACGTGCCTTGGCTGGAACGGACATGTCGGGATTGAAAATTGGGTTAGTTGCTGCTGATGCTCGGTTATTATTGGGATCAGGAATGAACTGGTGAGTCTCGTTATCATTTCGGGATTTCATTCCTTGAATGAACTGTATTTTCTGCATCTCGTTACTTGAAAATGATTCTTCCACAAAATTCGAAAGCCATTCCAACTCAGCCAAATCGTCATACTGTAAAAACAATACCACAACAACAATTTAATCAGTAACAAATATTTCACATTGTGGTTCGAATTATGGTCCTTTTGACACTAGCGGTCTGGTTTGGGGTACAGTCAGTAAAAATTTGAATTGAAAATAATAGAAATATTTCAATAGTTATTGTTCACGTTAAAATTAATTGCTGACGTGAATTAATTTTGAAAGAAATAAATAACAAATGCAGCATGGTCATCCCGACAAGTTAGAAAACCTGAATTTTCATTATCTTTGATTCACTGTATTGTTTCCCTTTTCTTATTTTCACAGCAACCACACAGGAAAAGTAAATGTTGCTCTTTTCTAGAAGAAAACAAAAGCCATTAAATAAAATTCCTCACAAAAGCGTTAAAGTTACATGTCCAGTGACTACTTTTTCTCCCAGCTTTTATTTACATGGAAAAAAGAAATTAAAACTAAAAACAGAAGCTTGTAACAAAATATTTATTTTATGCGTGCATGAAAATGATGATTACCGGGACGGAGAATTCACTGGAGAACTGTCCGTCGGGGAAATTCCGGCAGCCAATAATATTATCAACAGGTAATTGTGGGTCATGATTGCTTCCGGACAATGAAGAATTGCATGAATTATCGACAACAGAAGAATCAGCGGAATTTCCGGTGACCGTAGCGTCCAACGTGCCATCAGTGACCATTCCATCGTCGTTAGGCAAGTCCAAGAGGTCCTCAACAACGAAATGGTCACCATTTTTGGCGTCGGAAAAGCGCTTTTCAGGCATGAATTGGGAGTTGTAGTAACTTGCTTGGAAGAATTCAGGTGTTTCCATTGGTTAGAAATTATGCAAATTTGGAGCTTAAAGAAGAATGTGTGAAAAGAGTGTGTGTTTTTGGTGTGAGAGGGAAAAATAGAGAGAAAAAGAGAGTTGTGAGGAGTGAAGTGTTGGAGGAGAGAGAGAAGTGGAAGTAGAAGAGAAAGGAGAGGGGGTTTATTTGCGTTTGAAGGGGACAAGCAAACGGCTGAAATTTTGGATGTTGATCAGGAAAAATTATGGCTTTAAAAAAAGCTAGATATTTCGTTATTTCTTTAAAATAAAATAACAATTATTAAAGTGTCTTTATACTAAATAGAAAAAAGAGATAAATTTGGTAGTGAATTTACGTGATAGTCCTTTAACTAGTGATTTTAATTTGTTTAGTTTACAAGTAATTGAGACAAAAGAAAAAAAACAGATGAAGTAAAGTATTTTTAGGGCATGGAGTGTTATGAACACGATTTTTCCAACGGTGGACCACACGTGAGGTGTAAGGTGAAAATGAATATTGAATATGGGACTATAGTAATGGTCTTTACTTAATAACTAGGTCATCAGCTCCTTCCCACCTTCACTACCAACCCTTTCTCGTGTAAGAATAATTTGGTAAAAACTTACTCGTACTAAGTCAATATTAAATGTGAGATATATGGCTTGCATTTACAGTTTTTAATACCTGATCATAAGTAAGTGATATGTATTATCACTTTGAATTATATAGATTCTTAACGTTAATTGTTTGGTTAGGTGTAAACACCGATACGGGTAAGTATTTATCAATTCAGTTAAAAGTATTGCACAAGATAATCAAGGTGCGCGCAAACTAATTCGAACATCACGGTTATAAAAAGGAAAGCGTCGTGTGGAACCAATTTTGTGTGATTACCAACACAAAAATTAGTTCTAATAGTATGATCGATATTCTGTGCTTTGGTTGTATGTCGCCAAAATAGGTTTTGATTATGTTATAAACAGAATGTAACATGAATGTTGCACGAAAAATTATTATAACTAAGTCCTAGTGCTCGCTGATTATACTTTATTTCTAATGAAATAATTTTTGGTATAAGATGGTATTTTGTTAAAGCTGATACTCGAATAAGAGCTCAACGGATTAGTGTACTTTATACACCATATATATTGTATATTATGCATTCCCAAGTAGTACTCTTCATGCATAATATAGGTTTATCTATCATAATACTTTGGTTTAGGTCATTTAGCTAGTGTCATCCTTTTTGGGTAGAGATTTGTAGGGGAAAAAACGATTGATATTGTGTGTTTTACATGCATAAAGACAAAATTACATATTAAATTGAGGGCAAAATGGGGAATACGATGTAAAAAGTGTAGATATAAATAAATAGTAAAAAACAATGGAAAAATAAGAAAGCATTGACAATACATGTCTCTACTAAAATCATTAGTTGAAATGTTCAAATTAATGAGCAATATTGCATTATACTGTTACTACTAATTGAGAGTTTCTCCGAGGTTTGCTCGATAACCATGACGTGTTTTTAAAGTATTTCAATGGTCAAAATATCACAATTCGAATTATAATAACATGGATTTAATTCCTACTAATTAAGCTTCTTGATCACTATTACTAAATCGAATCTATTTTCCTATTAAACATGTAAAATGGAAGTGGAAAAACACCACGAGCCCACATATCCCTAATCCCATGTCTGAAGCTGGTCATGAGGGCAATTATTTACGCAATTTGTACAGCAATTATAACTGCACGTACCAACACCTGCAAAATCAAGTACAGTTTCCTTCTAAAGCAATGTCAATAACAACTTTGAAGAAAAAAGAAAAAGTCAAATACAATTACAACAGGGTATTTTAGGAAATAACTAATGAAAACTTGTCAAAATGGTTGTAAAAACTGAGAGAAAAGGTAATTAGTAATCTCATTAATTAATTAAAGAGAGACAAATGAGTGTTAAAATTCAACTCCGAAGGAACCGATCTAGCAGGTTTGTCGCTGCGACTCGTGCCACTATCGTCCAACTTTTACAGCCCGATTCCTCCGCATTTAATTTTAATTTTTGTCATAGGGATTCGTGTAAAAATATTTAGTTTTCTTCTCTTGACAGTTTATTCTAAAATATCTCTGAAACAAATCCTTTATTTATTTCATTATTTTATCTCAACCCCTTTAAATTACTTTTTCTCATTTTGGTTCTGCCCCTAATTAAATTTTATCATCTAGTTCAGAACCCTTCCACTAAACAGCACGATGATTACAGCTAGGCTTGATAAAAACCAACGGTCTAGACAGGGGTGGCTCAAGGGAAGATTAATAAAGCCTTTGCTTTAGGCCCTTTAAATTTTGGGGCCCCAAAAATATTTTTAATTTTTTATTGTAGATCTTTTATTTTATTTTTTCTTAGACAATATTGAAGTTTATACAAACTTCTTATAAAAGTAGAAAAAAGACTATTTATTTTTAACAGTAGAATTTTTTTAGAACTTTGAATTAAGCTACTCAAATCTTCATATTAGTAAATAATATTTTTTACAATAAGATCCATATAACATATTGTAAATACGTGACAAACATCTTAATAACTTGAATTTTCTTACCAATGTAAATATTGGTACTCCATATTATATTTGGTAAGGTAACTAAATTACAGACATAATGAAAGAAAAAAACCCATGTAAATCTTAATATTATATTTTGTAAGATAACTAAAGTATAAACATAAAAAAAAGCCCTTATTAAAATTTGGCTTTAGGCCAAGAATTTTATTGAGACGTCCTGGGGTCCAGATCTTTCCAACTTGAAGAGATTCCCTCCACGTCAGTTTTTGTTTTACTTTTTACCCTGAAGATGGGATGCCACTTTAGATTAAAGTGGGGTAGTTGGAAACGGAGCTTCTCAGCCAGGTGTCGCTCGAGTATTCATTGGTGGAGGAAACCATAGGAAATTGCTGATCCCAAGATGTATGTAAGAGAGTGGATAAAGTGTTATGTTGTATAAGGGGCTATTTATGGCATCATCAACTCAACTTAACCAAATACATACACAAACGCTTTAACTTGTCTCAAACTAAGGTTATGACCTATGGAACACTTAAACAAGGTTAAAACTGTATCAATTGAGCACTTATTTTACAATTCTAGACAACTTATAGTGCGTGAACGACACTTACTCTTATGTGGTAAATACAACTAGTGAACCTCAATACAAAAGGTCAAAATATTTGAATAAAATAAAAATCAAAACCCACCAGGTTTCTGAACCACCGTCTTCCATTGGTGTTCTAAATAACTTCTTCATGCTCATCTTGTATCGGAAAAATGAGGCAAGCTCATTGCTAATGTCATAACCCATAACCAATTGGGAGCTTGTCGGATTTCTCATCCTCGAGCTCTCTGATTCATAGCTTTGGCTGTATCGTGTCCGCTTTGTTTGATCTACTTGGCGCTTGGAGCTTGCTCGTGAGTTCCTAAAAAGCTTTCTTGCCATTATCTAGCTCACTGAGAGCATGACATTTTATAGTTTATGTTTTAAAGCTGTGAAGTTCTAATTTGAGGGCTAATTAAATTTGAATCCGTATTTGTTGGGTCTCAAATATTTTTTGGCGAAGACGATGAAGGCAGATTTGAGTCTCTTAATACACGAAGAAGAAAATGATTACAACTCATCCAAAAATTTTCCGGTGAAACTCTATTTTCTCGTACAAGAATTTTGGCCTTGAAGAAGAAAATGACTGTGAGTATGAGAACAAGACAACTTGGAAAAAACAAACAGAAATCAATTTTTTGTGGCTATTACGCGCCCTTGTTAGGTGAGATACACATGACTTGTCATGTCACCCAGTTGTGTTTAATTGGTATGGTTCTAATTTAGTTTAAGTGTTTGATAGGTCCTAAGCTTAGTTTAGACTAATCTAGTTTAAGTGTTTGATAGGTCCTAAGCTTAGTTTAGATGTCTAAATGAAAAGTTGAACAAGTTTATAGGTTTGCGTATGTATTTGGCCACTCAACTTGGAAGGATAACTAACTTATCACTTTTTAGCTCACTACCATAATTGAGGGGTGCAGTGGAAGATAGTAGAATAGTAAATATGCTTTCATCTTTAACTAGATCTCGAATATTGCAAATGAAGTGTTTTTATTAGAAAGCCTTTTAACTTTAAATTGGTGCAAATTCGAATTAATCAATCCCAAAAGAATATATACAGCAATTGAAAACCAAAAAGAAAAAACCCTTCAGCAATATTGACTTCATCGAAATTTATATTTTTATCGTGCAGCATAAATATGAATATGTCAACATACTAAAAAGTATTAAATATGGAGTGGATTAAAACTCTTTTAAAAGACGAGTTAGACTAGCTTAGTCTATAGAATTCAGTTTACTCTTCTTATTTTAGTATGCTTCAGATAAATAGTTAACTCAGAATTTTCTTACTCACCATCAAATAAAATGGAAAAGACTGAAATATAATAAAAGACATTATACCACTTTTTCGATTAACTATTTAATTTTCTTTTTCTGTCATAGTGCTACTCAAACACCAAATTAACTAACCTTACCATCATTCACTCAGCACCAAATGTTTCAGTTCACTGTTCTGAACTTGTTTTTTTGTTTGGTCACCGAAAGTCCGAAAGGAGGAAGTATTTACTTCTGTCACTTATTGCATGATCAACCCAGCGAGTGAAAGGAAATGGCATTAGTTAACCTACCACCTTTTAGTCACCAATTAAAAAAAGAAATATACGGCTACACGTATTTATGATGGTTTTCGAAGAATCGGTTTTATTTTTTATTTTAAAAAAAAAATAAAGATACGTCAGTATTTGATTTAATTTTAATGATATTGGTTTTCAATTATTTTGGAAGAATTAATTTTGATTGGCTACTTTGGAAAGATCAATAAAACCCTATAACATATAGGCTTCATAAGATTGACGATTAGTCGTTTTTTAAAACAAACTAAGCATACTTATTTGCTACTCCAATAAATATATTTCAATATTAAAAAAGAAAACTTGCTAAGAAATCTTTACGGTAAAAAGAAATAGATTCTCGTCCTGTTACATACCGTAAAGAAATGCTATGACTATGAGTAGGGTAGTATTTAAAATCTTCATGTTTGTTTCTTTTTATTTGTCATGGGGTAAGAATATATATTTACAATACTTGCATATCAATGTATCACTTGCGTGGTTTGAA